CCCCACCCCGTTGGACGTTAAACCCGGTTGGACGTCAAAACCGTTACCAGGAGGGGCATTAACCCGTTGGGACGTCAAACCCCGTCCCCAGGGAGCGCATTAACCCGGTTGGAAGTCGAACACGCTGGACCCAACCCGTTGGACGTCAAACCCCGTTCCAAGGAGCGCATTAAGCCCATGGACCCCGAACCCTATCCAACAGGTGGGGGTGGAATGGACGTCCATTCCATTCAGGGTTAGAAAACCGACCAATCAGAGCAGGGCAGATTGGACGTACATTCCATTTGGTTTCAGACGTTGAACGTCAAATCAACCACGGAGTCAATTGACTTCAAACTTTGCATGTAGGCCGTAGTGGATATGAAATACAACATATCCAAATCAAAAGCGATAATTCCGCCGGGAAGGGGTTACATTGTGGTGTCAAAGTCAATGAGTTGAGGTGCGATGTTTGATGGGGTAAGCCATCAACCCAACCAGACCCAACTAAATATCTATATTTTCACCCAGGCAACGGAGCGGTTAGGGTTACTAGATCAACAAAGTAAATAAAAATAGCAAAATATATAAAAAAACTGAAAGGCTTCATTCTGGAGTGATTTTAAACAGAGAAAAACAAACATTAGTCGAACACGCTGGACCCTAAGCCGTTGGACGTCAAACCCGTCCAACCAGGAGTCAGAGATGGAGAGCCAGCAGGGTGAAACCCACATCAGATTCAACAGCACATGCAGTCCCAGAATGGCCAGAAGTGTGAGCAAGAGCACAGACAACAACATAAATGAAAGCATCACCAAGAATGAGGCTTCAACTATCTCCTCGTCCGTAGGTTTGTGCAAAATTAGCGTGGTTTCATTAGTGTATATTATACGAGATCTCATTGAATAATCAGTGTATTTTTGAGTATTCATTGGTATTAGGGTTATATATAAACCCTAATTAAGGATCCGCGTAAATAGATATTAGGATATACTATGAAATTCCGCCCAACATTGAGTTTTCAAACATAAAAGGGTATTTTGACACTCTGAACAGTCAGAACTTGATCTCCCTATCTTTTTATATTTCTGCTGGCCAATCTTTCATTTATATTGACACCAGGCACAAACACGCTGCTTTGGAAGAGAAATCCGTTGATGATTTAGATTAGAATTTGATCATTCCCTTGATAGATTATCATGAATCCTAGATGTGAATTCAAAGAGTTTCCTGGTAAAGCTTCTCATGAAAGCTTATATGAGAAGAAAGATCCTTCACTGAAATCCTCTGCTGCTTCATATATAGATATTGAAGCCGGTATGCATTAATAGTTGCGGAATCAATAAGTCAGTAGAGAATAGAAAGCCAGGTGTGATAGATGACTCTATGACTAGTATATGCTGCTCAGTATTGATTTGCTAGATGTACCCCATTCATATGATGATTATAATCACCTATAATCAATGGGATTTTTCAGCTTCTTTTGTGATTGACCTTTAAAGACTTTTCTAACAATATTGACATTGATTGAGAGTTCCCCTGAGCATTTACAAGTACATTCAATAACTGCGTCCAATGAATGAATCGTAGTTAGTGCCAATACCATATTATTATCTTGCCAGGCAAGACAGAGAACATTCTCTTTTTCAATGACATGCAGAGTATTTCAGAGTATGGAATTTGAATGCTCTCAAAGGTCATCTAGTACTGCTGGAACCTGGTTTGAATGAGTGGTTCCACATGCTCCATACCCCTGTTGACGGAGTTCTTTGAATAAAGGAACTGATGTAAAGTAGTTATCCATTTCAATTGAATAGGATGTGACCAGCTGTGAGATAGAGATTTCATTAGATGTGGCATTCGGTGTAGCATTCGGGGGGGTGATATTCGGGTTGATATTAGGGCCAATATTATGGGTGATATTAGAGTCGATATTAGGGGTGGCATTCGGCATGGTATTCGGTGTATTCAGTGTGGATATCATAGGAAGCCGCTTCACCAGATTCACCACCATAGATTCAGTTTTGTTAACATAGAGAATTGAAACATAGACATTATACTTTGTTGACAGCTAGACCAGGAAAAGACTATAAATAGTCATGTTCTGCTAGGCCAAATATCTT